CATGGGCAGCTTCTCGCCGGGAGCTGCGGCAAGGACGATGGCTCTCCGCCGCGTCTGGGCCACACCGTACTGGCCAGCCTGGGAAGAAAGGGACAACTCCTGAAGGGGCTGGAGCATCCCCACATCCAGTCTGTGCCCTCCAAGAGCTGGGAACGTACCCCAAACCACCCATGGAAGCCAAAGAGCAATGCAACCAACTGCTCCTTTGGAGGGAACGGTTCACGGTGGAGCCAGGTGAGAGGAGAAGGGTTTTCACCCCAGTTAACTGTCTCAGGGTCACCCACCCCCCTACCTGTAGCACCCCGAAGGTGCACTGGTAACCCATGCGGACAAGGCAGCGCAGGGTGAGCTTCAGCACCATGGAACGCTTGAAGGACACAAAATTCCTGACATTCTCCAGAAGGAAGAACCGCGGTCTGTAGTAGTCGCAGTAGCTGCGAGGAGGGAGAGGGACATGTGAGCAAGGATAGAGCAACATTTGAAGTAGGGGTCCGCATCCACACTCCAAAACAGCTCCCCGCCACCTCCCCTGCTCACCTGAGGAAGGAGACCACCAGGGAGTTCTTGAACTTGGAGTAGGTGCGGGAGTTGAAGCGGTTCATGCCGCTGAAGCCTTGACACGGGGGACCACCGCACAGCATCTCCACATCCCCCTTCTGCGGCAGCTTCTGCCCCAGCGAGTTGGTCTTCTCGCCGGACATGACCAGCTTCAGCCGGACGTTGCAATCCTCCGTGAAGACGGTTGTGCCGGGATTGTTCAGCCGGAAATCCTGGGCGGCCGGTTCCCACATCTCGATGGCCCAGAGCGTCTCCGACACGCCTGGGGAGACAAAGCGGAGGATCTTGAGCCTGTGCAGAGGAGCAGAGCGCTGGCTCGCACCCCCTGATCCGGCACGTGCCGAACACAACCGCCAGCTCAGAGGAACTGAGCGGCCAGAGCTGATGCCTGTCTCCCCACGGGCTCCGCTCAGCACCCACCACTGTCCCTGCTCTGCCGCTCACCTGCCTGGTGGAAGCCCTCTGACAGCCCTCCGCAGCCAGAGAAGACATCCAGGGTCCGCAGCTTGGGGAGCTTCAGCTCAGCCGGCTCCTGCTCGCTCTGCTCGCAGCTCACCGACGACTTCCCTTTGCCTTTGCCTGCAAACAGAGCCCCCGCTCACATCAAAAGGCAAAGTCATTTCCTCCTCTTAGTGCTTACAAGGCAAATTCTTCTCCCCCTCTGCAGCAGTTAAAACATCAGCTTCAAGCACCTTTCTACCCCTTAATTGTTTCACCACCACTGCCAGAATACGCCCTGGCATTTGGAATGGAAGCCTCTCCTCTTTTCCTCCGCCCCTGTGTGATCTCTTTCCATCCAACACCCCGTGGGCGCAGGCAGACAGTTTCTGAAGGTCAGACGGGCGCAGCGATAACTCGGAGGGCAGCTCCCCGTGTTAGAAGCAGGGTTCAAAGCCCTACGCTACCGAGCGACCAACCCTTGGCAGCAGGTTGGCAAGTGAAAGGCTTCGAGATCTCTCAGACACCAGGTGCTCTCAGCTGCGAGGTTGTTTTTTTTTTTTTTTTTTAAAAAAGATTAGATGCCTTAAAAACAGAGCTGGCAGGTTGGCAAGTGAAAGGCTTCGAGATCTCTCAGACACCAGGTGCTCTCAGCTGCGAGGTTGTTTTTTTTTTTTTTTTTAAAAAAAGATTAGATGCCTTAAAAACAGAGCTGCAGACCACATCGCTGCATCCTGCCAGAGCATCGGAGCAAAGAGGAGAGCACAGGAACATCTGGTCGGCAGCATGTCTTATCTCTACTCAGCAGCATGTAACGGCAGACATGAACCAATTCACCCACCTGAGACCTCTCCCCCCAAAGCAGACTTACCTTTCCCTTTCCCCTTCCCCTTCCCTTTATTGCCCGAGCTCCGAGCATGGTTGGGAGGATCTTCAAAGCTCTTGGTTTTTGCGTTGTAAGCCTGGGGAAGAGAATGAGTGCAGGACACTTGAATATAAAGAGCTTTTCTAGCTCAGGAACAGCCAAGGTATTGCTAACACCCTATCGGGGCTCTGAAACAAAGGGCAGGACACAGGCGCAGCGCTGGGGGCTGCAGAGTGCCCATCACCTCCCTCTCCATTGCCTCAGGGAGCCAGGGTGGCCACCCAAGCGTCCAAATTTGCCCCCTCAGCTCCATAGGGAGCAACCACTCCAGCCAGCTCCTGATGACACTCAGATTAAAGCTTCCCTTTGCATCCAAGACTTATTCCATCAGGCGACTGCAACGAGCTACAAATTCTCGCTCTGCGCAACGGCTCCTCTGTGCAAAACACACATGGAGAGGCAGGACAGCCTGCAGCAGGGACACGGCCAGACCCCGCCGAACCCCGGCTCCCTCACCTCCAAGAAGTAGAAGCGGTCGAGCCCACCGGCGGAGTAGTCCTGGATGCTCTCCGTCAGATCCTCCCCATACACCACCGTGCAACGGCCCTGCACGGCACGGAAGTCGACTGTTGTCTCCTCGTCGCTCCAGTACAGGAGGTTGATGTCTGCGTGGTAGCTGGCTTTCATGGACTTGTGCGTGTTTTCAGGTCTGCAGGAAAAAAACAAAGCATCCGGATCGGGGAAATGTTTTCAGCAATATCCTCACCCTGGTCCAGCCTCCAGCGCTCGCACCATTCTGTGTCCCCTGAGAGAGGAGGGTTTGTTTCCTCCGGCTGCGCACGTTCGCTGGCATGGCCTGGGCACAGCACCAAAGGGATGATTCGTTTCATACCAAAGGGAGGTTTTTTTGCGGGGTTTTCTTAGAGGGAGTTGGCAGTGGAGCTTGTAAGTGAATTTAGAGGCAAAGAGTTCTAAATCGAGGAGCTTTTAGGCTCGAAACACACGGGTCTGAGTGTCAGCACGTTCCTCTCCCGCTGCCAAGGCTCCTCACACGCATCCCTGCGTGGTGTGGGGGAGATGACTAAGAGCCTGCAAATGTTTGGGTAAACACCCACACCCTGGGACGGCGTTGGCGCTGCAGCTCAGCACCAGGTCTGAGCCCACATTGCCGTGGCCGTAAGCCCCTTCGAGCAGTGCCCACACTGCACCAACCCACCACGCCGCCGTGCTCGAGGCACCTGGCTCCAGCGCGACCTTCAGCTGATGGCACAGAGCTTTTCCTGGTACCCGAGACCTCAGGTGAAGCCTGCAGCCCGCTCAGGGGGGGCTCTGCACCCCCCAGCAGCGCTGTTCACCTGTAGAACTTGTAGATGCGCAGCTTGATGTCAGCCTCATTGGGTTTGCCGTTGCTGCGGATGTTGCAGAAGATCTCTTTGATGCGGCCCACGCGGTAAGGGTCGGGGGCATCCAGGTTGCTGCCCTTGATGTACTCCGAGTATTTGCGGTAGTGCTCCGGGTGCAGCTCCTCATCCACCGCCTCCTTTTTGGGGCGCTTGGCTGGGCTGGCGGGTTTCATGCTGGGAAGAAGGGGAGGGAAGAAGGTTGAGGTATCCCTTTCTCTCCCCCCCTCAAAAAAAAAAACCCCTAGCAGCAGAGAACATCCTCCTCCCGCATCGCTGCCTAGCGTGCCTGCTTCCTCCTCTTCTGCTCTCCTCGGCGCAGGGTAGGCACCGTGCCTCCTGCTCCGCAGCACGAGCGTTTTACAGCCAGATCATCGCATAACTGTGCACGGCTGCAAACCAAGGCGCCTCCACCTTGCTGCCCCAGCCCTCTTCCCAAAGAGGTTTGCCATTTCTCCTCCTGTAATTACAAGCAGCAGGCAGGCTCTTGTTTCACCTTTCATCTACCCGGCCTTGTTCTTTTGAAGAAAAAACGACGCACAAAAGGATTCTGATTCATCTGCCAAAAGACGGCAGCTCAGCGATCGGGATCATCTGATCAAAGAGAAATCGCTCAGTTTAACGACGGGAGGTGAAACTGAAGTTAGAGGCACCTTTATTTCTAAGCTAAGCTTTTGGAAATTAGGGGGATAGGTGCTTCATTTACAGGTGGGATTCGCTACCCAGAAACTATGTCCTCTGCTACCAAAAGCTTGACCGAAGAGCATCCTGAGAAGTGCTCACAGTGCCCTGCAAGCACCAACCTGAAGGAAAAGGCTTCTGGCAAGAGGTAGACGCCATCTCCCACCCTGTACTGCACTCCGTTCTTGGTAGCCATGGCGTAGAACATCTTCCCATCCCCTTCCTCCAGGGGCTCAGCCACTTTGGGTATCTCCTTGTGCCTCACCTCGTCCAGGCGCGTGCAGCTCATGCAGAACCTGCAGGAAGGGGGACAGCAGAGCGTGGTGACAGGGGACCCTACTGAAGCTGGCTGTGATGCTGCCGGGAGCCAAGAGGCTCCTGCTGCCCATTTTGGGCAGAGAACATCCCAGAAGCTGCCGCCCTGCGCATGCTCACTTGTATTTATTGTCTTCCGTGGGCTGAGTTTTCGGTGGGGATTCGAACCGAGCATACTCCTGGTCGTACCACATCTGGTAAAAGTAAGTTCTCCCGTCGTCTTCCACCATCTTGATCTCCATGTCCAGCCCGCCCTGCTAGGAGAGAAGTGTTCACCGGGATCGGTGCTGCTGCCTGCACTGCGCCTGGCTCGGGCCAGCTGGGGTTTGCAGGGCTGTCACCCACCTCCATGGACCAGTTCTCCGAAGGTGCCTTGTAGATCACTTTGACTTTGCCGTGGATGTAGGAGAGCTGCATGTCCTCGCATTCATCCACCAAGAAGAGCTCCAGGGGGTCAGAGGTGGCCCCCAGGACGGTGTCTGAGCCGGGGCAGAACCAGTGTGCGTGGAACATCTGGCCGCTGCTGTCCTCCCACATTGCTGTCACCCTGAGGGGGAAGGAGCCAGGGTTATGAAGCACCAGGAAAGGCTGGAGCTGCTCTGAGCCTTGCCACAGCTCCTCAAACAGCAGCACAGCCAAGCAATTAGTGTTCTCTAATTGGGAATGCCAGCTGTCCTCGCACACGTCCACCCCAGCAGGAGCAGAGACTCGTCCCCTTCAGGCACTGTAGCACCAACCTGGCGAGGTAGAGGGGCTTGGTGGGATCGTCGGGGCTGACGGAGACACAGTCTCCCACCTCCAGGGTCTCCGAGTCAATGCAGACCCTCTGGTAGTAGTCCTTCTTCCCATCGCTCTGCAGAAGTGGGGGGACAGTGGAGAGAACTGATAAACCCCACACCGGCGAGCGATGCAGCCCCCAACGCAGCCCGAGCACCCACCCCAGCCCCGGCAGCGGGGCCGTGCCCAGCCTCACCTTGATGGGCTCTCCCACCCAGGAGATACGACTCTTGTTCTGCTTCTTCTTCCTACCCTGCAGCATCTTCTTGGGCGATGGCATCTCGGGGATGTTGTCATCCACCTCCTCGTCCTCATCAGCTTCCCGCACAGCCAGGTTGGGACACCTGGGGACACAGAGCATCACTGCAGCACAGCACAGCACGAAGAAGACCACGTCCCCTCTCTCTGGAGGTGGAGAGGACTTTGGCAGGAGACATCGCTACCACCGGTGGGGGGACACACCTCCTCTGCAAACAAGCCTGCTTGCTCCGTCCGCTGCCCCCAAACTTCACCATGTTCTGGCAAGCCTTGCACTTCCCACACTCGGGCTGCTGGCAGACCTGGAGCAGGGAGAGGGGACGGGCTAAGCACAGGCAGACGCAGCGGAGATGCCCTGGGCAGGAGGGACACGGACCGAGGGGAGCGCGGTGGCCTCAGGAAATCACTCCCCTGCCCCATGGGAGCAACCCCAAAAGGGGCCATTAAGGTAGGATGGAGGGGATCAGGTCACTTCGGCTCCACGCCAATCCCCGCCTCGTTACCTCGCAAACGCCGCAGCGTCGGCGCTTCATGGCGTTCTCCTTGTCGTCTTCCCTCTCGTCCTTCTCGATCTGCTCCGAGAAGAAGGTGTCGAAGATGAGGTACACCAGCTTGGTGGTGGTGGCTTTGGTGGGACCCTTGTCCTTGTCTATTTTGGTAGGGTGCCGGATGGCTTGCCGCCTGACGGCTCGCCTGCAACCAAGGTGAGAGCGGTGAGAAGGGACCCTGTGCCTCGTATCGCTGACAGCTACAGCCACAACAAACAGCCTGGCCCCCGGGGAGGGTCCCCAGGGAAGAAAGCTCTCCCCAGGGCACCCAACAGCCGAGGACCACAGTGGGATACCCTAACAGACACCCAGGCACATCCCACGGCTGCCACGGCAGCCCGAAGGGATGCAACAACACGACAAGGAGCAAAGTCAGGCTCCGGGGACCCAACCCAGCACCTTTCCTCCCTTGGGGCAGCATTAGGCAGAGGGGTTTCCCAGTTTTGGGAGGATTTCTGCTCCGATCTCCCAGTGCTGCCTGTGCCACTAAATCCTCAGGTTGTCCCATCTGAGAACAAGCAAAAGGGATTTTTTTCAGGAGGATCCCCTGTGAAAAGCCGATGGGAATCCAACCCGCCGGGCTCCTACGGGACGCTGCAAAGCCAAGTGCCCCCCAAAGAGAGCGTCTCCGTGGGGGACACGGGGCTCACCTCTTCCCCAAGGTGACTCCAGCCAACTTGATCAAGTCCCTCATACAGGGTGTGATGAGGACGGGGGGTTCGTCGCTGTCCCCGGCTTCGTCATAGCTTTCCACCTGCTCCACCACGAACTGGGCATGCCGCAGGAGCGAGTCTTCTGTGAAGCGGTTGAAGTTCAGCCCCGCGGGAGGTACGGTGGTCTGCGAGGAGGGGTCAGGTTAGGGGAAAGGTGCCAGAGCAACAACCTAACCCCAGACGGCGCCGCCATCGGATTTTCACCTCGATTTTGTTGAGCAGATCCTCGTAGCTGACGTCGCGGTTGTTCTGCAGGAACTCCACAACGATTTTGCTCATGTAGATCTTCTCTTGCATGAGGGCGAAGATGGGAGCGTACTCCTCGCTGGGCTCCATCAGGATGTAATCCGCGAAGGCTGCGGCGGAGAGATTGCGGCGGGTGGTTAAATACCAGGGAATTTAGCGGTATTTAAGGATGAGCCAGGACTGCGGTGAGTGGGTCCTGGAAAGGGGAACGACCAGCCCATCCACGCTGCTGCAGCACCAGGACCTAAGCATGTAGGGAAGCTCTACCACGAGCCAGGACCCACGGTCGCTCAGCTATCGCCACCAAAGCGAGGGGAGAGGGGACGTGAGGTAGGGAACACTATCCACGCAGTAGCCTTTTATTTTTCTATTACCTAATTAGAAAGCAAAGACAATCCAGTTTGGGCTTTTTTCTTTTTTTTTTTTTTTTTCCTGTAACTATAAACTCCATTTGCTGATGCACAGGAGAGTGAAGTCCTCCTCTGATATCACCAGGTTATTGGAAGGGTTCCTTGCAGAAACGGTGAAGGGAAAAAGCTTTTCAGCCCCCAAATATCAGCCTGCTTCCCCCCCAGTTTTCTAGAGAGTGAAAAAGCCAGCTGGGACACAGAGCCAGGGGCTGGCCGGGACTGGGCGTTCCTCCAAGCCCTTTCTCAACACAAACCTGTCCAAAAAACCCGGGGAGTAGAGCAAGAAAGCGACAGAGCCCTCCGACGCGGGCCAAGAGGTCAAGAGCAATGAGAAAACCCTCCGAGAGCGACACTGAGCCATCCCCCGCATTGCGCCGAGAGCTTCCCGCAGAGCGGGGAGTGGAGGACGGATCCTTTCTGGGAATGGCTGGGAGGGAGACATCCCCTTCCAGTCACCTTGCTCGTCCCAGCTCCGTGCAGGACACCACTGGCAGCCGCGAGCTCAGCAGGAGGTTTTACACCCATTTAATACAAGCCTGGGTGCTGCTGAGGCTAAATAAACCCAGACAAGCTTCGGCACGGTCCTCTACCTCGCCACGTGCTTGACGGTGCAAGTTCCCAGCAGCGGCAAAATCCACAAACCCAAATAAAGCTCCTTCACCAGCCGAACACGCAAGCAGAGACTTAAATCCTAAGCCACGCACGCTCCCCAAGCCCAACCTTCCCGTTCCTCGCTCACCCACCTGTGGTGAAGCCGATCAAAGCCTTCTCCCCTCCGTCGAACCCCGTGATCCACCAGGCATTTATGGGTCCCAACTTCTTGGCTCTCACCCCACCTGAAAGCGAGAAAACTCCAATTTCGGTCTTCAGTGCCCACCCCCAAAACCAAAAGCAGCTGTGGGTGACAAAGCACCACCAAGACCCAACTTCGTTTTGCACGTGGTGTTGAGCTGAAATTTCAAGGTGACAAACCACCATCCCCACAGCCCTGGAGGCTTCTCCGTGTCCGACTCACCGTCCAGACAAGGGTTATCGTCGTAGATGGGCTTCACAGCACCGCTGAAGTACAGCTCGATGTTCCTCTCGATCAGGCCGGTGTCAAAGGGGCACAAGTGACCTCGCTTGTCGTAGACACTGGCAAGGAACAGAGGTTGTAGTTTGACATGTCTCGTGGGCTTTGCAAATCCAGCAGGGTTTTTATAGCCCGATTTCCTACATCTCACCTAAAAGAGGTGACTTTGTGCTGCGGCAGGTCCTCGTAGCTCTCAAAGCCATCTTCGTTAGCGTCGAAGATGGACAAGCGCTCATCCGTCAGCATTTCTGGCTCCTCCAGCTGAACGAGGGAGAGAGAAGGCCGTTTAACGAGTGTTCCTGTTAGCCCGACAGCTCTCCTCGGCCCCGGAGAAGGAGCATTAAATCCCTTACGGCGTCATCGGGATCCCCTTGGAAGAATTTGAGGTCAGGATCATCAAGGTACTGCCTGCAGTCGACGCACTTGGGAGGGGTGGTCTGCAAGACAGGGGAGACGGCGTTGGCTTTTCTCTCTCCCCCCCAACCTCCCTGTGAGCTTCAGCCCACGCTCAGACTCAGAGCTCCTTCCCCAAATTGTCCCGTTCGTTAGCGCGACCCTCGTTTTTAATTCATCCAGGCAGCAAAACAGCAGCCACCGCTTCGAAAGCGGCCCAAGCACATCCAGGCGGTGCTGCTCCCCACCTTGCTGGGGGGAAGCGTTAATTTTTGGACGCTGGGTAAACTGGAAAAAGCTTTACCTTTCCCTTAGGGAAATTTAACGGCTCTTTGGAAGAGTTAAAAGAATAAAAAAAGCCCCCAAAACGCTGAGATGGAGGAAAAGGGACTTACTTTAGCAGGTGGTGTAGTTTTAACCTGAGTAATTTCATCTTTTATCTCTGACCTGCAGGTAAGAAAATACAAAAGGGTGAAGACACAGAGCAGCATAACATCATCGTCCTCCTCCTACTAACGAGGCCACAGCGGAGGGAAATGGGCACCAACAGGCACCGGCACCCGAAGCAGGGAACGCTCTCCTTCCTCCTTACCCTTCTTTGGTTTCGATTTTAATCCTTTTCTCATCTTGTTCCTTGAGGGACAAAGGAAGGGGTGTAAGGGGAGGCTGGAGAGCACGACGCCCTCCAGGCCAACACGCTCGACTCAGCAAAGCAGCCGGCCAAGACCTCGGCTACCAACGGCACCGGCACGCACCTTCTCCTCCAGCTCCTCTTCCTCTTTCTCCACGCTCATCACCTCCTGCTTCACTTCCCCGTTCACCTCCTCCGATTTCCGTTTGTTGGACCTGCCGGTTTCGAAATGGAACGGATCAATCCGAAGGTCCGATGCCACGAGGGTTTGGGGTGTAGGGGGGGAAAACGAGGGGCTCCCCCAGCACCAGCAAGAGTGGAGCTCCCTGGGGAAGCGCCCGGCAGTTCCCCAAGGCCGGTCTTATCGGCAACCGCAAGTTTTGGGATGGAACCCATCAGCCCAGGATGGTGGAGAGAGGAAGAAGAGGGTGAAGGCTCCTGGGGGATGCGGTAAAGGAGGTGCAAGTCCCAATCCCGCCACCGTACTGACCCTTTGGAGAACATGCTCAGGATGGTCGGCTGCCGGCCGGAGCTCCGAGTAGCCCGGGAACTGGCGGGAGACTCTGTTAGGAAGAAGATGGATTGCATTAAGGAGGGGGACTCGCCACCCTGCTCCTCCCGCAATACCCCATGGGGCCAAGACCATCGCGGGGGGAGCAACAGCACCCTTCTCCCTCCACCCCATCATCCCCGAGCAAGGCAAGGAGAGCCCAAACCCCTTCCCGCTGGGATCCCGCTGGGAATCACCATGTTCCCACTTGGTATTTAATGATAATAAATGATTTCATTTAAGGAAAAGAGGATGGAAAACCAAGTCGCTCCCGGTGCCGCCGTTACTTTTGCTTTCCCCGTTGGATCGGCTCCTCCTGGCCTTGCGAGCCCGCGGCATGGGGACCGACGAAGAGGAGGATGAAGAGGCGGCTGCTTCTTCCATCTCCATGGCGCTGTCTTCTTCCCCATCGGGTCCTGCTCTCTCCGAGTCCTCGTCGCTCCCATAGGCACCATTTTTGGAGCACCCGTTGGACGCCTGCACCAGCGGCGCTGCATCTCCATTCTCCGCCGAGAGCTCTTGGTGCAGCAGAGCTTTCACCTTGGCCAGGTACCTCTCCTGCGAGGGAAGAGCATCGGTTAAACCGGTTCCGGTGAGCCGTGCCGCCAAGGAGCCGGCACAATCCAACCCACCGGCTCACCGAAAACCGGGGTCTCACCTCCGACAGCTCCTCACAGCGGAGTTTGGCTTCCAGCTCGCTCAACTGATTCTGGACGTCGGCTTGGAGGAAGCCATGGATGAGGCTCAGCTTCTCCTTGACGCACTCCTGCGGGGACAGAGGGGACGGCATGGGGTGGGCGGCAGTGACGCTCCCCGCAGGGCTTGGCAGAGCCACGTCTCCGAAGGCGATTGGGCTGAGCCGAACTGCCGGTCGCTCCAAATCCAGGCGCCGCTCACCCAACTGGTGGGGATCCTCCCGATAGGAGGTGACGGCAGTTTTTCCATATGACAACGGACAGCGCCGACACCGGCGCT